CCCTTCTCCCCATGGCACGTCTCACCCGACCGCAGATGTACTCAAAGGTCTTCCTGGATAAATGGAAATTCTGCTGGAACTGCGAAGGGCTGAAATCCGGAACAACGTGGTCCCACCAGTGCCGAGAACGCGGACGCATCCACACAGAAGGTGGCGCTCGCCTTGATATGAGCCACAACAGCACCTGTAAATTCGAGTTGTCCCAAGACAAACAATAACTGCAGCTGTAATAAAGTGATTCTGAGACACCATTAAAAAGACATTGTCCATCCCGCTTGATGATAAAATAACAGATTAAGTTCCATTTATTATTGTGTTTTTTTTCTTGACCAACTGGCAAAGCAGTTAAACGAGCTGGAATAATGTTCATGTGGGTAAACTCTAACGTAAGCATTGATTTACAACCTTATTATTAGAGTAATGCTAAAATTTTATTCGTAATAGAAAAAATTAATTAGTATCCAAATAAAATGTAACTTGATTTCATCGTAAAGGATTTATTCGGCAATGTTTATTTAACACATTTTAAGGTTCCTGAGTATTTGTTGGGGGGGGAAACAGCAACATAATAAATTGACAAATTAAATACAATTCTGTATGTTGCGAAAAGTATCCCAATAATGGTTGAGCTGGACAAATCAAATGATATGATGGTTCATGACTTCCCTTTTTTGAAGGGTTGAGCCCTCGAAAAATCATATTAATGGTTCACTTTTAAAACAAAGACGAGGCCTAATTAACGCACACGTTAACCAGCTGTGGACTGACGATTCACGGGGACATGAAGATTTGAGACTTTGAGAGAGATCGGGAAAATAGGTCGCAGTGTTCATCATAACAATACTATCAAACTTACCTTCTTCCTGTTACGTAATCTCTGTTGATGCATGTCACGGAGAAACTGAAGAAGTCGATGACGGGTTCCAATATAAGCTCGCAAAGTCAGAAGCAATATTTGCACATATTCCTTCTCCATTGCGATTGTGTTTCTTCTTTCTTCCGGTATAGTTGGCAACCAGGGTCCGTGCGCATTACCGCCACCTTAAGTTAATATTTCTGCTTTCGTGTTCTTGTTCCCTATTGAGGAGGGAAGTTCCTATTTGGACACTTGACGTGTTTCGCACAGACGCGGAAATATGTACGATAACCCCTTAGGCACCATATTGGACGTTGATAAGTTGCCATATTGCGTGTGTAAAAGTGGAACATTCGACAAAGATACATCCTTAATTTCTGAATTTCTTGGAGGCAAAACAAATGTTTTACAGTCATTTGGTTAGATTGTATGGGTTTAAGACATCACAACATTTTACGAAGACAATTTGCTCACTTTATGACTCGATAATT